TATATATGTGTATATATTTATATCCATACATATATATAAAAATGATGAAAGTCTGGGCAAGTCTGTGTTGTGTAACTGGAACTGGTAACAGAATGTAACTGGTGCAGAAATCTCTGAGCCAGTGCTGACCCAATATGGCGAGTTGCCACAGCACAACCTGTGGGCTGCTCCTGTGTGAGCTCACTGAGTCTGGAGGCCATAGAAAATCAAGAGATGAGTTCCTTTTCTCCAGTGCAACTCCGTATAGTTATGACTTTACTTTTTCCACATCAGAGCTAACTAAAGTAGAAGAAACTAGGTTGTGGTGCAGGCATTCTTGCTGACCTTGCATGAATACTACGTGCAGGAGAGTAAGGAGCAGGAGAGAGGTCAGGGTAAGACCTACTGACCTGGAGTGCTTTACCATAATAGAAAACATACTGCAGTGATACTTTAAATAGCATCAGTCCTTCTGCATGTAGTCCTGAATGGTCTAGGTCAGTATGAACCTAATCTCATGAGACCTCAGCAGCAAACTGTCATCTGCAGAAACTGTTCTTGAAGACTACAAGTTAAGGGAAGCCTTGTCTTTTAATAGATGAATGTAGTCTTTAGTCATCAGACAATCTAGAAAACTGGGTCAGATAGCTGTTGCATCACGGCAGACAGAATATTTGGTGTTAATCAAGAAGGTACATAGCAAAGTATATACCATAGATATTTGGTTTCATTAGTGGATTTATCTTTAATCGTTGGGCAGAGTCATATGATGGAACATGATCGAGTCACCGTGGCTTAGCAGGGTACCGCCCATCTGTTTAAATGCTGGTAAGGATGACTCATGGTGTTAACATGACAGTGCAGAGGGAAGGGAGACAACGTGGTCAGTTACAGCAGCTTGGCTAACACATGGTATTTTACTAAGCCACTGTAGCGCTATCCATCCAGGCCACGTACGCCCAAAGAGATAGTGTATAAATGCTGACTGAGATCCTATTGTGTCCAACAGCAGGCTCCTGCTGGAACACAATGGAAAGTCTTAAATTTGGGAAAAACCCCATGGATGGCCAGATTTGCAGTGAGGTTGAGCACTTGCCAGTTCTCTATCTTATCTGGACTTTATTTGTGGGCTGTTTGCCCAACAACCCTATTTATTTAGCAACACAGATGCCAAGGAATTAAAATCCCTCAGTCAGCAATATTGACTGACAGGCTGCAGGCAGCACCTCCTCAGCATTTACAAAGAGAGGAGCAGAGTCGACGTGTCCAATGTTAAAAATGACAATTATAAACTCTCACTGACTTTCTTTGCCGCAGGATAGAAAGCAACAACAAGAGTCATTGTGTTGTCCTTGGAAGGTGAAGAAATGTCTCAGATAAATTGAGTATCTCAGCTGGTAGAGTTCTGTGCCGTACACTTTCCCTGAGCTCTGCGTGCATGAGCACGTGCTAATCGATGACCTGCGTTCAATGTGGAAGGAACAGAAGTATCCATGAGTGTTGGTCATTGTCAGCTTCCCTGATGGGAAGCGGAATCTGGTGTACATTATGTAGCACTTTTATTGGTGGCAGGAGCAGCGCAGACTTTTCGACAAAGCGAGTAAACCTTGAAGCACAAGGTTTCTCTAACTGCTCTGCACCTCTTTGCAAAAACACGCTTGGGAACGGACTAGCAAGAGTGTAGCAAGAAAAAATACCTGAAGTACTGAGGACTTTTTTTCCTCTAGCTAAGTGTAATCCACATGCAGACCCTCAAAGCGAAGCAGCTTTAAAGGTGAAACTGGGGACAGCAAGGAAGCTTCTTTGCCATTTTAATAAATACCAGTAATTCCCTTTTGCCCAAGTCCCATATTCCCAAACTCATTAAAGCAATTTTGGAAATTTTTTTGGCTCTGGAACATACAAGCAAAACTCAAACCATGCAGTCCCTTGAGAATCACTTGCACAAATTGCATAGGTCAGGCCAAAATAAGTTTCTGTCAAACAGCCTAACACCTAAGCTTATTATGAAACTGGTGAATTGTACAAAGCGTCTGTATGTGGGATAGAAGGGGGGGGGGGGGGGCTGTTGTCATGGTACTTGTTTTACTTTGGTCCCACTGAAAACTCAAGTGGTATTTTTATTGAATGCATTGCTCCTGTTAGCCAGCGCAGTTCCCCTAGGCTGTGTCTAAGCTGATGGACCCAGAGGGCTCCAGAGCTCCAGTGGGAGGGTGGGTGCACGCCTCAGTCTTGTCCCAGGACAGGCGTGGGAGTGCACCAGTGCTTTCCCCTTTCCTGCCCACTCCTCCCTGCCTGCTTTCCTGGGAGGAAACCCAGACAAGGGCCGCAGCACACTCTCTTCTGCTTCTCATCCTCCCCAGCATGGGGGTCTCAGCCATTCTGTCTGGCAGCTATTGCATGGACTTTAAAGTACGAAATAGAGAAGACCTGTTTGAGCTTCTTGTCTGCTCTGGAGGGCTGTATTTGCAGTGAGAATGGGCTGGTGGGAAGTGGAATTTCCTTGTGGGGGTCACCACAGCCTCTGGAAACCAACCAGATCGCTCTCCTCACATTCAGCTTGGTATCTCCTCACTTTTTTCTTAAAGGATCACTGAATCTACTTTTTATTCTATTTTGACCCTGTCCTAATGATTCGTCAGTCCTCTTGTGTGAATGAGTGCTGGTACCTGGAGCAGCTGTGTTTTAAGTGGAGAGTAGGATGGGTCAGGGGCTGTGTACTTTAAGTACATTTTCTGAGCTCATTTTTCCTGCACTACATCCATTCCACTTACACCACCTCCACAGCTCCCCAGGCTTACCCTTGTGCTGAGGTGGCTGTAGAGACCCCTATGCCAGAAGCTCATTCATGCTCCCTCACGGCGCACCCTCTCCCAAGGTTACACCATGTATTTGGGAGACATTGTTTTGAGTTTCTTTGCAGGGAGTATGAAGATGTAAAGTACATCATATTCCTCCATAGGCAGATAACAAGGGAGACATAGGAAGAGCTTCTTGTCTGTATTTGAGATACATTTGTTGTTGCTTAGTTTTTTTTTTTTTCCCCTTTCTGAATAAGTACTGCATGTCTCTGAGAGGATTTTTAAAACATCCTTCAAAATACAGACTTTTTCTCTCCATGGAGAACCAAGACAAAAGGATGGGTTCAGTCGTGTGCAGCCGCTAAAGAGAGGACAGCTGAGGGTAGAGGGGTGGGAGGAGCAGGGATGTCTGGGCACAAGGGAGCGCACAGGGCAAGGACTTTGAGGTGGCATTTGTTGGGACAGAAGTTTTTCTGGTGGGAATGGGGTTGAAGAGAGGAAGGTTGAAGGACTGAAAGTCCAAGGATGGTAAATGCTAGGGAGTTTTAGGGAAGACGGGGTTAGGTGGTTTGAGGTCTGGGCAGAAGAGGATGAGTCTTGTAGGTCAGAAGAAGCTTTTGTTGCCATGAGACAGGCACCTCCGCTTTGGGAGCCTGAATGTGGTGTCCTCCATATAGGCACCTCCGCTTTGGGAGCCTGAATGTGGTGTCCTCCATATGGGATGTCTATGAATCCCTTTGCTCACAGCCTTTGGCCTCTGCTTGTTGTTAGATAAATGGAGGTGACAGCTAAAGTTAGAGGAGGGGTGTATGTATTCATGATTGCCAGTATCACTTATAATTGGAGGGGCAGGAAGGGCCCCGTCATTTGGTGTGACACGGTTCAGACCAAGTGGGAGAAGTGACTGTCTTCCCCCTCACAGCTCTGAGCTTATGACTCTGCTTCCCTGACCAGAACAGCCCAATTTTGAGGCTTTCATGGCTAGTTGTGGATTTGTCATTGAAGCAAAGGATGCTTCTGCCAAAGCTGAAAATCAACCCTGATGTTTAGAGGCTTCAAACGTCTTTAGACTCTTTCCATGCTCCCCCCTGCAGAGGCTATTCAAGCTCCCAGACTATGCTGCCTTCTCTCTGGTCCTTCTTACACCTTCAGGGGTATCTCTCCTGCCTAATAAACAGTGTAAACCACAAAGCATCCTGCTCAGTGAGAATGTAACATACTAACTTGTACTAGCAATGTTTGTTGAGTATGCAAAAGCTTTCTTAACTTAATGCTTTTTGAAAAGGTAGCAAGTTATATTTACCCTCAACTTCAAGCAACTTATACCTTCTTCAAAACAAAACAAATAAAAAAAAGCTGATTAATTTAATTAACTCCCAAGACCACACTTCTTAAAGGCTGTTTTCAAAGAGTAGTCCTAACTTTGTTTAATCCATTAATTTTATGATTATTCTTCTTTGTAAGTGGGCCTGCTTTCTCACATGCACCCTTTTCCGTGTGCTGTACTTAGAAAAATCCTTCAAATCCTTTGACCTGCTTTTGCTGACATAACTCTGCTTTTTCGTAGTCCGTACTTTTTGCCTTTACAAGCTACTTAATCTGAATGTGATTTTGCTAATTTTCTTTCTATTTCTCCATTTTCTGTGCCCTGGTGAGATGCTAACTGGTAAAATCATGAACCTCACTTTGGAACAAAGGCTTGGTGGAATTTCACAGGAGAGAATATCAACAGTGAGGTGAAATACTCATTTTAGAGTAGTTTATTTACAGGTGATAAAATTTCAAACTTAGTTTAAGAGTGTTTAATTTTCTGTCATAGTCTACAAAACTGTCATCCAGATATTTTTGTTCCTGAGGGCTGAATTTACAGTAATGCACTGATGTGCCATGCCAGGAAATTTTCCTGCTTTGTCTGTAGAAATCTTTTGCTGGCCACTGTAAAATGCAGAGGTGCATAGACTGAGACCAGCTGCTATGTTTACCTTCATTTTCTATTGGATAAACTATACTGGTGCTTTAACTGATAAGTAATAGAGGGAAGGTGATTCATCTGTTTCTTGAAAACTTTCTGTTCTACTGATTCATGCAGGAGAGGACAAATGCTGGATTGGCTTATCTGTGCCTGCTTGTCTAGAGTTGCCTGTGCCAAACAAAGGCTGGCACGGTGAGGCTTGTTTTGGTCTCCATAGCCCATGACAGCTTTCTTTCGTTTTCTCCTAGGCCTGTCCCAGGTTCTCTGTCTTCACTACTGCACCTACACAACCGACAAAGACAGCCTATGCCTGCCTCTATGCCTGGCACCCTGCCCAACCCTACCATGCCTGGATCTTCTGCTGTACTCATGCCTGTAAGTTTTTTGGTTTGCGTTTTTTGCAGGGGAGGAAGGTTGGTGTTTTGCTCGATTCAGCCTATGCAGAGGTGAAAGTCTGTTGGATTTTCTAAAAAAATCAAAGCGTAATGAGTTAAGGAAGCTGGACCTTTTTTGCTGCTTCATCTTACACAACAGTATTTCTGGAGCAGTTAATGGCATGTTAATTAGCATGAGAGTGATTAGAAATGGTTTACATGAGACTACAATTTCTGGTTCTCACATTTGATTGTATAGGTGAAATCAGTATGTCCACGCTGGAATAAAAAGATTTTTCTGAAGTCAGACAAAAGGGGAAAAGTCATGTACATCAGTTATGCCAGTAAACTCTAAGTAATCCTCTTGTTTGTGGGAGATAACCAGCTAACAAGAAAGAAATGTGACTTACTTTTCCAGCCTGGTAGCTTGCACTTAATTAGAATTTGTTCATGATTGCTGCTCGTCTGCCACTCATTTCTGCAGAGATGGGAATATTTCCCATATTCTGGGAGACAAAGGGGTGCTTTGCAATTGTAGCTTCAAATTCTTAAATGATTTTAACAACTCTTTCAGTATAAGACATTTGGGCGGATTAAGGGTGGAGATGAGTAAGGATGGCATGGGGAGGAGGGGATTGGGAAAGGAGACATTTCTGTTTCATTCCACGATGTTCAGTTTGAAAGACAACTTGAGAGCAATTGACCGTGGGAGGGAGGAAAGCACTGCTTGTTCTGTCTTTGCTGGAGCAAGGGAGACATTCCAGAGGGCTACGAAGATTCAGGTTTGGCTGCTATTTGAGCAATCATTAATAAGTTATTAATTAGGAACTTATCAATAAGGCTCTCCTGGAATATTGACCAGGAAGTTCAACAAAAAAATACATGACATGTCACTGTAGGCAGTTTTTTTCTGGCATGATTTCTAAGGAACCTGAAACGGAGCAAACATCCTGCTTCGCTGTAAGCTCAGGGGCTTCAGGTTGGTGCTGGGGAGCCCTTTGGGCAGCTCTGCTTGCAGACAAGCAGGTGTGCTCTGGCTGAGAGCCCCAGACACGAGCATGGAGGTGAGACAGACCCTATCAGCGCTGGCTGCCCCGGCTGCAGCTCCTGCCCCACAGCCCTCCTGAAAGAGGAGGAGATAGCGGTGGGAACTCCTCCTAGCCCATGGAGCAGGTGAGGGGCCCTGGCGGAGGCAACTTCTCCCCACCAGCAGCCAGTGGGATATTGTCCTCTCCCTCAGGCTCAGCACCCAGTCTTGCTGGGATCATGGAGAATGGGAGCCAAGACCTCACCACAGGGCACAAAAAGTATCTCCCCTGCTTGGAAGAGCTTAGGAGGATCCAAAAGCTTCTTTCTTGTATGAGCCAAAGATTCAGGGCACTGGCCCAAAGCAAGGCAGGATGCTCAGCTCTGGTTGAAGGCATCACCATAACCCTGCTTATCACCCCTACCAATGACTAGCACTGTAACAGGACTTGCCTCTTTTCAGGGAAGACACTTCAGGAAATTATATTACCAGGCCTTACTGCCACTAGGTTTTGTTTGAAAATTATATCTCTCCCTCCCAGCCTAGTGAGATTACCTCGCAGAAAGGGCTCTGAATAGCCAGGAGGAGTTCTGCTTTGTTTTTTGCTATCTCAGCAGTACATGAAAGCTTCCCTTACAAGACATATGGAAAACTTTTCTCAGCTGAGTGGTTCGAGTGAAGGAAAAAGAGCCAACTTGTTTTCCATATATTCAAGATTGTACATTTTTATTTATGTTTTTAACAAGCTAAGTTGGGCTGCACTGACAAGGGAAGGCACAACTTTATACAGTGATGCTTTTAAAACCACTTAACTCCAAGTGTTGTTATACTGAACAGGAGAAAATCATTACAAAAAAGTGCAAACTTGGGTGGCTGCTACATTTGTTTAGTAAAGAACCCTTTTCTTTATAATTGGCTGTGAGTTTTCAGGGCTGATTCTGATGAAACACACGCCTGCATGCTTATACACATGCAATTCACGACAAAGATTGTTATTTTTCCAGTCATGACTTGAAGAAATAAAGCTGAGTCCATTTAAATAGAAATCGAGCATAAATTTTTGCAAATGTCTTCAGACGTGTTCAAACATTTTTTTTTTCTTTCTTTCTTTTTCTTTTGAAAGATGGAGCGACAAATGTCAATGAACTCCAACATCATGGGGATGCAGGGGCCGAACCTCAATAATCCTTGTGCTTCACCTCAAGTTCCCCCAATGCATTCAGAAGCCAAAATGGTAAAAAAAGAAAATTTACAAAAATAATATTTACTTACATAGCTCTTGCATACTGGTTACCCAGACAGTGGGGGATGTAGCCAGACACTGCTTACTTCATTCTTAGTCATATGTTATACTCTTTTTTAATATGCTGCAGTAAATTGCCTTTGTGTCTATGAACTTTCAAGATGTTCCTAGTCCTAGCTGAACTCTCAGTGAGAGGGAACTGAAGTGAAGGGTGGACATTCTGATCCATACTGTGTTAAATAGGATTTTTTGGTGCAGATTAGTAGAATTTAAACAAATGGTCTGACTGGTTCTCTGATGGTGTCTGTGCTCCGCAACTTGGCTTAAAGAAAATTGTCGGTTAATAGTGAAGTAAAAAGTGTCTGACGTCGAGGGAATGCACATAGTCTGCTTTTTCCAGATAAGCACATGGCATGTCAGGGTAATGGCAGTGTTAGAAAAGCAGACTGAACAATGTGTATAAAACTGGGATATTTTCTTTTGCTTGAGTGCAACAAAGGTGTTGCCATCAAAAAGCGTCAGAATTTGGACAAAAATTATTTATTTATATGAGTTAAATGTCATAGTGTTTTTTAAAGTTGCTGTATTTCTTACCAGGTCAAGGCTTCTCAGGTGTGTGTACTGGTATAGGATTAGTGCAGGTAAACTAAACTACAAGTGGGCCTTTGCAATTTTCCCCAGCTTTATATGCACTCGCATGGAGGTATTCAGCACTAGTATCCCTGGAACCAAGTTCATCAATGTAGAAGCACTTAAACTTTCTCAGTTTCAGAACTGCCATTTGCTGGTACAAGTTCAGAAGTTTGCAGTTTAACTCTGTAGGGTTTTTAACCCTCTCAAGATGTCTCGTCATAGAGGAAAACAGGAGTAACTTCATTGAACTTCTTTCAGTGGCGTTTTGCCAAGGTAAAATTGTCATAAGTGAGAGAAAGAAATCAAGCCGACAAATATTAAGCAACCACATGTTTTTATATATTTCTACTTTGCATGACTGGTACAGCTTTTAAAGTTGTTGTCATCTGTCCTGAGGCAAAGAAAAATATCTTCTTGTCTATAAGTATGGTGCATGCAAGAGGCTGTGGGTTAAGAGCAACAACATATACGAGCTTATTCTATCTCTGTTTTCTTAGATTGGATAGGTCATGCCTTTGCCTCACTGTTGGTCTGGGTTAGGCTGTTAACCCAACCTCTGTTAACACCCCGTCTAAAACCACACTCCGTAAACATGCAGCCAGTTGGCCAGAAGAAGAGCAATAGCCAAAAACGCTGCTCCCCCAGCCAAGGAAAACCTGTGGTCAAGAGTTCTCTCTCTGCTGTACCACACAGTGACGGTGACATGCCAAATGGCAACAACATCTGCAGCAGAGCTTGTTAAAAACTTTTTGGAATAGGCCAGTGTTTTTTCAACACAAGTACAGCTGAGCCAAGCTAAATACTCCCTGGCTGAATAAATCTAAAACTGGCATCTGTTTTGGGGACTGAGGGGTTCTGTAGTTTACTCTCCCCCCGCTCTCCCTGCCTTTTTTTTACTGGAAGTGTGAGGCTACTTAAGAACAAGATTAAATTATTGGTGCATATGGTGAGAATTCTGTGCTTTAATAGCTGAAGCTGTACATTAATACAAATTGCTTTTTAATCTGGATACGCAGGTTTTGTCCCTAAACCTAGTGTACGAAGGCACAGTTCTTTCAGACAGAAATTGCTATCGGTTCCAAAACACAGTATAGTGAACAAGCAGTGCCTTTGCTTCTCAGGGTCTTTCTGCTGCTCTTCCAGAGGTAGAGAAAAATCTACATGCATTAACTCTTAAAAGTAAGAAGCATAATTCAGAGCTTCAGGACCTTTCTTCTATTCAAATGCAGGGGTTTATTTAATATTCTATATACTAGTTTTATACTTTATTTCTGTTTGAGCACACATGTAATGTAAAACGCCTCTTTGTTTAGCCACTGTTTTGAGGAATATGAATCTATTAACAATACTCTGCATGAACACAGAGTGGAAAAAATGTAGGAAATATTCAGAGCAAAATTATTTCTAACATGTAAGTTCATGAATTTTAAATCTGAATCATCTGTATTACAGGCATGTTTGTTCTTATTATTAACTATTTCACTTTGCTTCGTGCTCAAAGCATGAGACTTCGTATATTCTGGCTACTTTTTAAAAAAAGTTGAAAACGAGGGTGCTTAGTACCTTACTGGATTGTGTCCTGCATTAAGAAGGAATTTCAGGTTTCCCCAGATTCTGCTAATGCTATTACTGCTGATGCATCCAGCATTGCTTATGTTCTCTCTGGCTGGCCCAACTCTGCAATGAATAAATGTGTTGAATACTAGGCAGAATCATCTAAGCTGCTTGCAGCTAATGACTGCATTAACTGGAGAAGTTTGGGGGACTTTGGGCCTGATTCATCAGCCGTCCAAATCCGTGGCAGATGGATCTGCATTTTCTTTGTGCCTACATGAGAATGCAGGACAGGCTTCTCTAGATGTGAGACCCAGATGTGAGACTGAATCCTTCTGACCTCTTGAAAGTATGTACCTGAGCAATGCAAGCATGATTTGGTATGCAGCAGTCGTAACACTATTTGGTGACGCATGTGACTTAATTTGCTTCTCTAAAATAAATATGAATACATAATATCAGTATGGATGCTGTGTGATGCCAGGTTTTTTAGAGAAAGCAGATAGATGGCAAAAGTTTCACACCTTTGCTTGGTTCATAATCAGTTCGTAGTAGGAAATGGAAGCCAGTCTGATAAATACATTCATTGTCTGATATATAAGCAATCTACGGACACATATAGGATATGTGTTGCATTAATGTTGTGTTTCTATAATAAGCAATTTATTTATCTATATGTCTTTTAATCAGCTTGTATTAGCTGGTGTTTATAGAAAGCCACACTCTGCCACCCAAGATGCTCATTTCCTGTTTAGATTTTTTTTCAGGAGAAAGTTCCTCACAAATATTAAAGCATTGCAGATGACACCCCAGAACTGATTTAATTTATCACAACAATCTGAGTTTCCCTCACGGTGTACCTCTCAATTAGGCTATCACCTAATGCTTTAAAACTGTCCTAGTAAATGAATGAGTGAACATCTAAATAAATACTGCTTTCTTCTTAGATTCAGAGCTAAGTGGATAAAACCTTCACGCTGCCTACCAAAAAAACACATCGATTTTGTATTAAAATATATTGCATTGGAAAGTGGAGGAAACATATAGCTCTAAGTGTACATGGTAAAAATAAGCAGAATAGTACATGTAGCATATTAACATGTGGTTCAGTAGGCTGAGAATATTATGAACTCGGAATTGTTGGTGGTTACTTTGCCTTAATATACTGCTTGCATACCGTTTGGTTTGCAGTTTCAAAGTATTCAAGGTTTTATAACTCGGAAGTGCAATACTGTGTGGATTACCGGAGTGAAAGATAAATAGTGTGCACTGAACAGCTGGAAGGCTGTGTGACAGCAGGTCTTTTTGGTGGAGCTGATGCCTCTCTATCTGAATTTTACAAGGCATTGATCTTTACCTATAGAGATTTATGAGCTCTGAAAAGAGGTATGAAAAGCAGGCTGGCAGTGAAAATAATTGAACTTAAAAATGCAGTTTTTTCAATTTGACCTGTTAATTTTTTCTTTTACTCTCTCTGTCTGCCCCTTGCTGGATACATAGTTTTATAAAATTTAAATAAATTGCAATATATGTGTCTTGGCTATGCCTGCCTTCCTGACAGCATCTGTATGGTTCTTTAAAAAAAGAAAATAATTTATTTCCGTATCAGAAGTATGTAGAGTTGTAGGCTATTGTTTTTGCCTTGTACACATCACTTTATTGAAGAGTAATAATAAGAAAATTAATTTGAAGGTGTCTATCAGAAGAAAGAGTGAAAATATAACCAGAAAAGAAAAGTAATAAACCAGCAATGAGCATGTTCCTAATTATAATGGTAAAATATCCATATTAACTGAACCTCATAATTTACCTAAGAATTCTGGACAGCTTTGGCAGTGGAAGAGGAGAGAGGTGAAAGAAATTGCAGTTAGCCAGTTGTCATCAACACTAATTTTTATTCAACTTAATGAGAGTAAAGGGTCCAGATCCTACTGGTGGCTGTGAAAATCCTGGTTCAAGCATTGCTCAGCTCTCTGTCCCAGCAGAAAGGCACGTCTGGCTGCAGGGACCCGGGTGCATTTCGTATGGCTGTCAGAGGGACACTGCTCACTTTCTCCAGAAACAGCACGTCAGCCAAGCGGGAAAGACTTGACCGCAGAGGTGGCTGGCTTTCCTCGGATGCAGACTGGGGTCTGCGTTTGGGTGGAGTCTTCTGTTGCTTCTTGTTTTACAAATAACGCGCATTTCTGTGCCCGTGAGCTGTGATGGTGCAACTGGTGCAAAGGGAGAAACAGATGGAGTAAGCTCTTACCCCCGGCCCCAGTTTGGTACTTGGCTCAGCTGTTGCAGCAGCCTTTGGATGTGGAAACAAGAGCGCTGCCCTAACACCAGTGGCATCCTGGTGCAGCTGGTGGCCTTGGGAAGGACATCCCACCAGGTACCAGCTGTGGGCCAAGGTCTGCGAGTTTTCTGTATGGATTTCAGGCAGGATGCTGGCATAGGCAGTCCAGGCAGGATCAGACCCACTGAAGCTCTAGGTTTAGCTACTTAACATTTCACGACTGAACATATTTTGTTAAATATAATAAACAGTTTGAAGTCTGTGTTTTCCTATCAAGCTGGCTGGGAAAGGAGTTAGTCACTTTATTAGAGCCACAAGCATTGCTTCAAGGCCAGAAGCTTTTCTTTGCACAGATTTTGAGCTACTGAGGAGAAAGAAAAATGTCGCATCTCTGCAGAGCTTTCAACAGCAATTGCTCATCTTGTCCTTCACAATAAAGCAATGAAAGCAGCGTAAGGAAAAAAAATGTGCAAAGCAAAGCCTTCCAATTTTAAAAAAAGGGTTGTGACAAAATTTCCTGTAT